TAAATTCAACATAACAACCAGTGATTTCTGAAATGGTGTTGCATACATATGTCATGTCTTTATCAAATGGTATAAGAACTAGTATTGACTGTCCAAAGGAACCTATTAAAAAGGTTGTGATGGATATAACTATTTATCTAAGCAGATTATTTATTAAATTGATTGCTTATAATATTTTAGTTAGGAACATAAGAAAACTAAGCCTCATTAAAACCATAAACTTGGATTCAAGTTCTCCTTTTCAGACAATGTTATCTTGGAATCTTCTGAGTTGGTATTAGGTAGCTCAGTTTAATAGAGGTGTAGAAGATGTCATGTTTAATTAGCTCATGGAGAGTAAAGGATTCAGACTTTATTTCTTAGTTTTAGCAACATAATTGACTGTGCCATCATGATGTCACACATTTTATTTATCTTTTAGTGGTTGATTGGTTGGTTGGTTGGTGTGACAACACTTGTGAATTATTTATTCAATACATGTGAGTCTAAAAAAGTGATTTTGTTTAAACATTTGTTTGAACATTTTGCACATTAAATAATTATATGTATTTTTGTTTATACCCATCCTGTGTTTGAAATTTTCATTGCTAAGGCTATAAGGATTTCCCAAATTCTTATAGCATGGTGATTATTTGATTCATCCCCCCCTCTTATTTAAATATGTAATTTTGATGGAAAAAATAAAGGTAAAAGTAGTCATATGGAAGAAATCTTGAAGCTCAAATTTATGCAAATAACACTAGTCCAATATAATTCATGTTACTCTTATGATAATTAAATAAACATAAAGGAAAGAAAGTTAAGTCTGAAATTTCTTTATGATTTCATCAACATCATATAAGCCTAATCCAAAGAGCACATCTATGATAAGCTCAACAATAATCCAATTATCAATACATTGATACGTTGCTGGGCAATAACATCCATGTCAAAAGCCAATATAAATTATGTATTCTTTCAAGTCCTTTCCAGCAAACTTCATCATACACTCCACCTAATTTGTTGTCCTTATAAGTATATTTATATTTTTGTGTGTTTTATTTTTATGAAGGCTGAGAGAATGCTCAACATCTGAATGATATCAAAGTGAAACAAACAGTCATTTTCATCTTCCCTGACTTCATCTTATCAACCAAATTGGTGGTGAAGCCCACAGCAGTGAAGAACTTCCAAACTTTCTTGGCTAATAAAGCCTTTACATAATTCCTTTTGAGCCATATTTGTAAGAAACATCCACATGTAAGTGTCACATTCCAACTATATTCCTTGGCCTAGAACTATTTTGGAGCATGACATAGATTGGGGGTCTTTATCTTTAATCTTGTTTGAGCCCACATAGCAAAAATTATCAATGCTTTATCACTTGCACTAATCATTTCCTGACCTAGTGCATGATTCCTGGATCATTCCATCCATTGTGTGGTATATGCATAGGGGGAGAGAGAGAGAGAGAGATTTCACATGCATTATATGAAACAAATACTATACTACATGCATATTGGTTATACTATATGGGGGAAAGGGTGGATTAGTATATTGGCTACAAAGATTATCCCATGAGAAAGACAAGATTGATCCAAAGTTCTAACATCCATTAGAGGCATCAATTTGGCTCATGACATCCTACAAAATCTTAGCAATATTGTAGCTACCAATTATAAGGAAAGGAGGACCATGACACTAATGCAGCAGGCAGTATAAGTGCTAATGGTAATTAAAATAATATTTGTAAAATCATCAATTAACCAATACAAACATCAAAATAAAATTTGAGTTATTAACCTATCAAAAACTATGATAGAGAATAAGAATATTAAAGGAGACAAGAAAACTAGAGAAAGAGCATAATATTAAAATCTCATATGGACTGAGTTCCTTAGAAAAAAAAACTCTTTTTTTTTTGCCAAAAAAATGATATAGTTTGAAGGGTATTTTCATACCATTGAAAAAATAGGGCTCTGCACTAAGATAAGATCAATGATTCACTAAAGCAATAATAGTAAGCTGAATTTGCAAGTAGATTAGGTTGATCTGACCCATTTAATCCAATCGAATGTGATCCAAACCCATTTGCAGGTAGATTAGACTTGCAAAATTAATCTGATAGGAGGATTAGATCTGAATATGAATCTCCATACTTAAAATTTAATCATAATGATTAATAATACAAACATAGGAAAAAAATTAAAATATTTTTATTTTTATTTTTTAAATTATATGACTACAATAGTAAAGTGACTCTTTTAAGAGCTAAGAAAGTAAGGTTTGAGTGATGAAAACAACTTGTCAATATTTAGAGATAGGGAATTACTATTTGTGACCCATTTTCATTATTTTATCATTTTTAAAAATTTAATATATTTAAATGATTATTTTTATAAATAAATATAAATATCCTTTCTTTTTCTTTTCCCTCCTCCTTCTTCTCTTTTTCTTCCTTTTGGAATTAATTCGCTCAACAAAATTTGACCGATGAAACCTACAAAGATCAATTAAGATTACTTGTGCATCGAATCACTAAAGAGGCATCAAAAGAGGTCGATGGTGATAGCGTCTATTCTACTGGTTATAGGGTTAATGATGATCGAAGAGGATCGATAGCAAAGTGTGGGATAGTAGAAAGTAACAAAGGGGAGAGCATCGGTGAAGGACGAGATGGTGGGGAGCACTAGAGAGGGTGGCATCGATAAAACATGGGATAACGATTATAATGAGAGAGTATCGACAAAACATGAGACGACAGGAAGCATTGGTTAGGAGAGCATCAATAGAAGGATGCATGGGATGAGGATTACAAGGGTTGTGAGGAAGAAAAATAAGTCAAATCAATATTAATGAGATTATAAATAATATAAAATATTATTTTTATTATTTTTAAAAAATTAATGATAGAAAATAACTCTAAATAATATTTTTTTAAAAGATAAGATTATGTACATCGACTTTATTCAGATTTTACGTTGGCAACTCTTATATATACATATATGGTCATATATCTTTTAGGGAACATAATTAATCATAGTGATTAATAACTTTCCAATATTTAAAGATAGGAAATTACTATTTGTGATCCATTTTGACTATTTATAATTTTAAAAAAAATAATATTCCTATATTATCACTTTTGTAAATAAATATAAAAATTATTTTCAATTCTTCCTCATTTTTTTCTTTCACCTCCTCATTCTCTTCTTCTTCTTTCACTTGGAATTAATTCGCTTGATAGGATATATGACCAACGAGGCTCATGAAGATCATTTAAGATTATTTGTGCATGAGTCATCCAAGAGACATCAAAGGAGGTTGATAGTGATGGCATCCACAACTAATAGGGTCAATGATAACTGACGAGTGATGGAGGGGGGGGAGTGTCAGTGAAAGATGAGATGGTGGGGAGCATGGGAAGGGAGTATTAGCAAAACATGTGACAACGATCATAATAGAGAGTGTGGAGTGAGGATAGGATGCATGGGGTGAGGATAGTAGGAGTTGTGGAGAAGAAAAAAAATAAAATAAATATTAATAGGGTTGTAAATAAATAAAATATTATTTTTAAAAAAGAATTATCAATATAAAAAAGATCTAAATAAAAAATTTCTTAGAGATAAGGTTATATACATTGATCTTGACTGGATCTCATATTAACAAAATCTTATATATATATATATATATATATATATATATATATATATATATATATATATATATAAGTCAAAAAAATTATAAATATGTTATTTTAGTCGATCTTTATCGATCGATGATAATGATAATACATTGAAATTCAATTTGACTTTAATATAGCTTCATAATCATCGAAAAACCTAAATGATCAAATAAATACCGAAAGTAATATAGAAGATTTTAAGAATTAAAAATGTAATATATTTTTCAAATTTATGCAAATATTTAATATAAAATATATTTTTTTAATATATACCCTTAAGCAATGTATATCCTTATCTATTTCTTCATACAATATTAATTATATGATCTTTGATTACTCTCCATAAGCTCCTAGGATCCCTGGGTCACATATCCAAAGAAACAACACATATTGTCGCTGAATTATAACTTATAATTGCACAACGAACAAAATATTTCATTCATGATCACTCGAAATAGTACACAAGTATTCATGCGACATCAATTACTAAAATAATGCTTGATATTACCAACCACTATAAATTTCCAAGATCATAAATTCACGTATTATTCTTCTCCCATACGAGTGATCGAGACTTTTTCTGTAAGCCTGTCACATACGATTCATGAACGACCGTATGTACAGATCCTCACACCTCCATCCGTGACATTGCCATTGCCTGACGTCGCCCAATGTTTATGAAGGAAACAAATCGACATGGAAGAAGACATGATTACGATCAAATCTGATCTAATCTTGTGCCGTATCAGAGCAGTGATGAAGGGTCATCAATGTGCCATCTCATCCACTATGTACCCCAACTTGCATGGATGGAATCACGGGCTTGATTGCCCATTTATGCTATTGCCATTCCGTGACTTGCGGCCCCCCCTATTTACTCTTTATTAGCTAGGCGAGAACAAAACCAGGAGCTCACCATGTGCTCACTCCGTAACCTGCGGCGAAATTGGACCGAACCGAACCGAACCACGCCGGGATATTAAACGGTTTGCTTCTTAGGAAAGAATTTTGACCGGACCGGTCCATTAATGTCAACGGACTCATCTCCGGAATCAGATTACGGTTCCGAAATGCACGCGGGATGGGACGTAAATGCGCAATTTCATCTCGCGGAGGTTTCCTGACGTGAAGTGGCCGATTACCCGAGCTGTGATTGGAACTTACTGCGGGACCCATTCTTGATCTTCAGGTTTTGGTTGGGTAAGTGAAGGACCCCATCTCCTCTACTTTCGCGTTGCTGCCTCGAGTCGAACAGGGTTTTAGCTACGATCGCCGTATAGACAAAGCCCACGTTGACGGGATGCGGTTGAAGGTGGTGGCTCGCTAGCTAAACCCTGTCGGCGTCCGCTTCCCACACGAAGTAAACGACACGACTGCGGCAGCGACAACAGCAACGACGACATTAGAACTGCCTCCGACCTCGCTTCGGCTCTTCCGCCTCCCCAAGTCATCTCGGCCCAACTCCACCTCTGCCGCCCGCTGCCCGCAGGCCCGCCGGCCATCCTCTCCATCGCCATCATTCCACAATTCTTCGTAGTTTTGTTGTTCTTCTACTGTATTTTATATATACACCTCCTACAGCAGCAATAGAAGCTGGAGTGGAAGATATGGAAGATAGACGCAGCGGCATGATGCAGCGCCTTCAATCCTCCTCCAGCTCCTCTGCCGCGGCCGCCGCTGCCCCAACGTTGCCGTCTTCTTCCTGCTCCTCTTTTTCCTCGAGGCTGCCGAGCCCTTTGGATCTCCCAAATTTCGCTCTTCCGTTCCGCCACTTCTCTGCCAGCTTCAGCCCCGACGCCTCCACCGCTGCCAAACGGCCGGGCATTCCGCCGATTCCCCCTTCCCCGAGCTCCTCCCCCGCTGCCGCCGTCGCGTCACCGTTTCACTCCCGCTCCCTCTCTCAACCCCTCGCCTTCGACTCCTTGCCCCACTTGACCCCTCCTCCTCTCCCCTTGCTCATCGACCCCATGATGGTCGACGACCGGCCGCCTGTGGCCCGGACACCGGGCCCCCGCGACGGCTTACCCCCTCGCCGGGCCCACCGCCGCTCAAACAGCGACATCCCCTTCGGCCTCCCCCTCCCCTCGCCCCCGGCGGCGCAGCCTCCGCTTCACCAGCGGCCCGCGCCCTCCCCCAAGCAGGCGGAGGCGAGCTGCGTCGAGGACGATCTGATCATCACCTACATGGATAGCTTCGACACGTTGAACTCAGGGACGGAGGAGAAGCAGGAGGATGTTGTGGAGAGCAGCAGGCTGAGCGGCACGAGGACGAGCGGGGCCGACAGCAGCGAGAACGAGGCGGAGAGCAGCGTCAACGAGAGCGGCGGTGATGGCAGTTGCGGTAGGGAGAGGAAGGAAGGAAACAAGAGGAGCGCAGTGGGGGATTTGACGGCAATGAATCCACGGCACCGCAGGAGTCTTTCCATGGATAGTAGTTTCATGGGCAAACTCCATTTTGGGGATGAATCTCCCAAATTTCCAGCTTCACCTGGAAACCAGATGGGGCAACTATCACGAAGTGGCTCAATGGATGAAACAATGAATACATTCAGCTTGGAGTTTGGAAATGGCGAGTTTAGCAGTGCCGAGATGAAGAAGATTATGGCAGATGAGAAGCTCGCAGAGATGGCATTAGCAGATCCTAAAAAAGTCAAAAGGTGCTCTTTTTAATTCGAATTCCAAGCTCAAGCACGAGTCATGAATGTGGATTTTGTTTTTACTGACATTTGTGCTCTGGATGCAAGGATTTTGGCAAACCGCCTGTCAGCTGCCCGTTCTAAGGAGCGCAAGATGCGGTATATCACAGAATTGGAACATAAGGTGCAGATCTTGCAAACAGAAGCTACTACACTGTCAGCACAATTGACCTTGCTACAGGTTTGCTGCCTAGGACTTTCTTCAGACTACCTGCATTTATTGTTAGTTGCTTGTTGGGGAATACAATCATCTGTTTATTTCTCTTTTACTGAAACCTGTTTGCAGAGGGATTCGGCCGGACTGGCAAGTCAGAACAATGAACTAAAATTCCGTCTTCAAGCCATGGAGCAACAAGCACAGCTGAAAGATGGTAATTTTCTTGTCAACAACTTTTGGACTTAATTTTAAATTAAAGAAAAAGAATTTTGAAAAGCCTTTCCCATGAAAGATGAACGCTGACTAGATATGCAGTTGTTGAGGTAGTGTCATGCGGTATGTTTCCTACTGAATGACTCATGCTTTGTTTTAGACACTCACTAAGCATGGCTATTCTTTTAAATGCCCCTTTTGTCGTTGCTTGTGTACAAGTTATATTTGTGGATATTGTGCATCTGTTGTCATGACCCAATATTTGTCAAATTATGTTTACATTCAAGAATTTGTATATGTCTCATCTACAAAGTAGTCCCATGATTTTGCATTATAACATGTTTGCTGCACTTAAATGGAAACACAACTGTACACTATATGTTTCACTTTCAATTTGCAGTTCCTTGCAATTTTGCATAAATATCCATCTGAAATCTCAATTATGCTGGACAAACTCACCTCAAAATGTTCAACTAGACAAAAATTTTGAAAATTGAAGCCTTCGAATAAAAACTTATGTCAAAAATGTTGTCTTCTTTGAAAAGAAAAATAATAACTTCAATTTGCATGTGTTGGAAGTGACTTGACTTCAAGGTTGATGCACCTAATCTACGAGTTGGTTTGAGTCTTATTGGTGATGAGTTGTATAGCAAGATAGCAGTCAGTCTATACAGGCTTTGTGGTTTAAGCAATAAAATCTTTTACTTACAAGAAAAGGTCAGAACCTAACTCTCTAAAGCCCTAAAAGAAGAAAAGAAAAACATAACTATGTATTTAAGAAAATTTAGAACTAAAATTTAATATACTGATCTGTAGTTTTTGCCAGAACTGTGTGACCTAGTCTGCAGTGGCAAGACACTTCCATTCATACAAGTATTGTATCACAGTTTCATTTTAGCTTAACTTATCTCATTTTTATTCTTTATGGTGGAACTCTTACGATGCTAGGATTGATGTAGTAGTAATCATGTCATAGTACTCTAGCATTTGGTCTTAATTTCCATTCTCAAACAATATTAGGGAAGGGAAGCTTCAGGAGGCAGAAATTCTGTGATAGCCTGGCAATCGATCTGATGGTCACCCTAAGGATGATTATATATTTGTGACCAAGAAAATTCCTTAGAATTACTTTACTTGAAGAATGATCCCAAAGTTAGTGGAATCTGCTGATGTTGGATGAGATTTCTATGTTTAGAACATTAGCCAAATAGGTTGGCTTCTATATGATCCAATTTCTTATTCGTGTTCAGTTCTTATTTAGTTACTAAGTCTCAACTAGGGTGCTTATTAGATATTTAGTTATAGATATCAAACATGGTTCACAGTCTAAGTTGTTCTGGCTTGTTAATAACTCATCTAAGATTTTACAATTTTATAAAATTGAGATGTAAATACTAGATACGATATGTAAATCCAATAACGTTTGTACTTTCCCCTATATCTTATTTTTGTGCTGCTGCACTAGGCAGTTGACTTCATGGCCAGTTCTAGTTCTTTGTCTTCCTAGTTCTGGTTAAAAGTAAAAAAGGGTAGAGTCGTGTGCAATGCACCCAACAATGCAACTGGAGTATCTAAAATGCTTGGTCAGACCTGTAAAAATGCATGTTTTGGTAAGTATTCCTTATGCATCATTTAGTATGGTTTGGTCTGTGCAGTACTGTAGCTGATAACAGTAAACATAGGAAGGTTGATACAACAAAAACAATAAAGCTATAAGTCCTAATTATTTGGGATCAGCTATATGAATCTTTTGTCGTCGTTGAGATCTGTAAAAAATCATGTGTTAAGTTCAAAGTATTTAAATCTTTATCTATAGTTTCTATGAAAGTCTTTTTAGGTTTTTCACTCTCTTATCGTATCACTAGTATTAATCATTTCGCCTCTTTTGACTATTGCATCCGAAAGTTTCCTACGCATATGCACATAGTATTTTAAACGATTTTCTCTCATCTTATCCGCAGTTGAAACGATACCTAGTTGTTCACGAATATAAATGTTTCTTTTCTTGTCTTTCGTAGTAACTCCACACATCCATTCCAGTATTCACATATTGAGAACACAAACTTTTTGTATATGTTATTTTTTGACTATCTAATATATAGACTCATAAAGCATTGTGGTCTCACAATTATCATATAAAATTTTCCTTTTAGTCTCAAAAATATCCGATGACCACACAAGACTCCTAACGCCCCTCGTCGTTTTAACTATCTTATTTTTACTCTATGAATAATATCTTCATTGATCTATCCATCTTATTGAATAATTGATACAAGATATTTCTTGTCCATCCAACCTAACTATGTTTTCCTCTTTGTTCCTAGAATTAATAAAATTGCATCTCATATATTCAGTTTTAGTCTTATTTAATCTAAAACCTATAGTTTCTAAGGATTGCCTCCATAACTCAAGTTTATAATTAATTCAAATTAGAGGTATTAAAGTATAAAGGCAGATTTTATTACATATATTGGTATGCCTTTATGGTGGTAACATGTACGCATGGTGATTCTCTGAAGATACCCAGGATGACCACTTCATGCATATGAACCACATAAACATCAGTAAGTTTCATTATTTTAGGACAACATCTGATGTATAAACTGTTTTTAGTTTCCTCTAACTTACCTTTCAACATTGGTGACTACTAACATCTGGTAATTCTGACACACCTTCCTGGTTATGGTCAGGCAGTTTTAATTACCATGAAGAATAAGCATTCAGCAATATATAATGTTTGTTGCTTGCTTTGTGTTATTTGGGTTTTTCTTTAAGGTGCTTTAGTTTTTTGCTCAAAACAAACCAATTTAGGCAATGCATGTCTATTCTTTATTAATTCTAATCAATTTTAGCAATTTGATTATCTCAGGTTCATTTTTAATTGTTTTTATATTTTAAACATTTTGTTGTGTACTTGTCTGGTCAATTTATTTATAGATAAGGGATTGAGTGATCATGAAATATTTAACACTTCACATGTATGAAAAAGGAACAAAGTGGTAAGCGATCACGTTTAAAGAAACAATGACTTCCTGTTATAAAAATCTTATCTTTTGAGTGTTCCAAATAAAAATAGTACCATAAGCAATTTCATAGTGCACCTCTAACAATAAATATATAAAACTCTAGCATGAAAACCAAAATTTGTGATTGTATACAACAACAACAAATCCGTATGTCATCTATTTGTGCTCGGCTACATGGATCTTTTGCGCCCATTGAGATTTGTGATTGTATATAACCTAATTTATTTTATGGTATTGAAAATTGA